GTTTTCTGACCACTCGGCCGTGTCGGCCGAAACTTGACACTCCAAAACACAACACCAATCTGCGACCAAGTGTAATCGCAGACCGGGGATGCAGTAAAGCGGCAAGTTCTAATATCAACCCGGGGTCTAGATCTACTGCTTACTCAGTGATTATCTATTATCTAGCCAACTAAGTCAAGTGATTGTTGTTTAAAGCAAAAGCAGAAAGAAAGCAGGAATTGGTACGGTTTTCTCAAGCAAAGAAGAGTCACTCGGGAATGAGTCCCCCTAGCTCCTTAGTTAGGTTTCAATTGTAATTTCCCTGGGTTGATTTACTGTTGATTAGACTGCGGAAGATCCGACAGTAGCTTGGAATCTCTTAAGCTGACCAAGCCCTCTTAGACTAACTACCCGGTAGACGACTAGTCTTCACCAAGATAGAAAGCTGAAGCAGTAAGAACAGAACTCCACTACTGGAATTGAATTCCAGTACAAAGCAGTAAACTGGCTAACTCTCGTATAGCCAATCTCCTACTACCGAATGATGAGGCTCTAACAACCTAATCAGATTCTATCTATCTCAGGTTGCAGCAGAAATCAGGAAAAGCTGATCAGACTTCAATTGACTCAATAAACATGCATCATTCGATTAAAACCAAGCAATAATATCATCCCAAGTCATTACAGTCAAATCCCTAACACATAGAACTAGGGTTCTTCATACCCAAGTGAGAGAAGGGTTCTACTCCATAGAGAGAGAGAGAGAGAGGAAAACATAATACAGAGTAGTCATACTCATAAAGATGAGGAAAATATGCTCTAGGATTATGATTTCCACTCCTATGACGATCTCCAAGCTTGATTTGATGAAACCCAGCTCCAAGATAGCTTCTAGGATGTGTTCTTCGTACTTTCTCTCTCTAGGGCTCTGTTTTTGCTCTGAAAACTCGATTCTCCCACTTGCAGCCCGAAATTGGGTAAAAACCAGAAATTCCCGACTCACACGGGCAGGGCCACACGGCCGTGTGGCATACCCAGTTGCCCGTGTGAGGTCAAAACGCCGCGTTCCGATTAATTGCACTTCAGGTTTCCCACACGGCCAGGGTCACACGGCCGTGTAGCTCACCCAGCCTGGCCGTGTGAAGCCTCGCAAAATCTCACACGGCCAAAGTGCAACTTCACACGGCCGTGTGAATACCAGGGTTGGCCATGTGAAGGCTCGCACAATCTCACACGGCCAAAGTGGTCACTTGCACGGCCGTGTGAGTTGTGGGTGTGCCCGTGTGGCTTCCTTTTTGACTTGCCTCGCGCCCGATCTTCGTCCAATCGACCCCGAACTCGCTCCTAAACCTTCATTCACTTGCTAGGACCTGAAATATCACAAACAAATACAACCTAGCGTGAAATCGACCTAAAACACGAGAATTACCATCTCAAACGGCTCCAGAATAGGGGTAAAAACATGTGCAATTAACGGCTTATCAATGATCATTTCAGAATTCATATTGATTCATTTGTCTGTTTTATTTATCTATTAAAAGCTGAAAATTCGGGTCTGCGCGGGTGTCGGGTAAATCCGTACCCCGGGTGCGGGCGGGGGGCGGTGAGACTTCTCCCCCAGAGTGGATCAAGCGGGCAGGGTTAATGATACCCGGGGAGCAATGACGGGTGGGCTTCGAATATGGGGTAACCGTCCCCGATCCGGCCTGTTGCCAACCATATATATGAATTCTATGAATTTATCTTCTGAATTACATTCTCAAAATTATCCTTTAATATTTCTTCCCTTCTTGAGTTATTTATGGAAAGGATAAATAAACAAGATGAATAACCAATCCATAATGTAGTTCTAGGTCCATGGCTCATCATAGATCTTAAGAAAATCAAGTATTTGCTACTTTGTTATAATTATACACTACTAGATAGATTATGTGTCGTGTTTCACTACGGCTTCTAATAGGATTAGATTAGTATTGTTTTGCTACCCCGTATTTGATTTGAGATGATGTGTTGCTAAAATCGGTAGGTATATGAAATGATTTAACCATGGATGAACTATGATTTTAGCCCAAAATCTAATGCTAACTTTCCGGTACGACCTTAGGTATGGCTTTATAATTTTTGAATTTCCATGAACATACATCGAGGCTCGGGTTGAGCAATATGTCAAGCCTGATTTAACCACAATTGAATTATGATTTCAACAAAAAAAAAACTCTAATGCTAACTTTTTCGGTACAACCTTCGATATGGTTTTACAATTTTTTATTTTTTCTGAACATAAATCGAGTTTCGGGTTGGAGCAATATGTCAAACCTGATTTAACCACGGTTGAACTATGATTTTAGCAAAAATACTCTAATGATATGTCAAGCCTGATTTAATTACGATTGAAATGCGATTTTAGCATAAAATACCATAATGATAACTTTTTCGGTACGACCTTCGGTATCGTTTTACAATTTTTGAATTTTTGTATAAACATACATTGAGACTCGGGTTGGAGCAACTTGTTAAGCCTGATTTAACCACTCTTTAACTAAGATTTTAGCACAACATACCATAATGCTAACATTTCTTGTATGACATTTGGTATGGATTTATAATTTTTGATTAGTTTCTGAGCATAAATTGAGGCTCAGGTTGGAGTAAAGTGTCGAGTCTGATTTAACCACGGATGAACTACGATTGTATCGTACTGGCGGTCAAATAGAAAAACTCTTAACAAAATCTAAATCGATAGGTGATTTTAGATATATGAAATGATTTAACCACTGTTGAACTACAATTTTAGCACACAATTCCCTAATACTAACTTTTTTGGTACGACGTCGGTATGGTTTTATCATTGTTGGTTCTTTCTAAACATGCACCAAGGTTTGGGTTTGAGCAACGTGTCTAGCTTGATTTAACCACAATTGAACTACGATTTTAGCACAAAATACCATAATGCTAACTTTTATGGTATTACCTTTGGTATGGTTGTACAATTTTTTATTTTTTCAACATAAATCGAGGCTTGGATTGGAGCAACGTATCAAACCTGATTTAACCACGATTGAACTACAATTATACCTCACTGGTGGTCCAATAGAAAAACTACTAACTTAATCTAAATCTATAGGGGAGCAAAGCAAAAATCTGTGGAGGCAACATGCAGAAGAAGCAATAGGTAAGAGAGGGAAGCAGAATGAGATAAATAGGAAAAGCTACCCAGGTACACTTCTCATTTGGGCTTTTAGACTGAGTCGTTGGTGGGAATGGCTTTCCTGCTTGGTACCACTAGTGGCCGGTTGGATAATCCTCCACAGCGTTTTGCTTGAGATTGTTAGAGCAAGGATTTTGACATAGTTGTTCTCAATGTTTATAAATTTCGGCCTTTTGCGGCTATGTGTTTGCTCATTTTGCAGGTACAGTTGCTAATAGAGCTGCCCATTTTATAGCATAACATGCTTTTTTATCGGCAGTTCGACTATTTATAGACTGTCGCACGATGTTTTTTTTTGTTCTTTGACTCTGTATTGGCTAGAGATTTACCTAGCTATTATCTATGTTAAAAAAATGATTTAAGATTTTGGGAGCCTGATTAGCTTAGGATGGAATCCACGTTGTTAAGAATCCATGCGGTCATTAATAAATAAATAAATAAATAAATAGAAGGATATTATAAAATGATTTAATGTACAAATCATTGCTCCAAACGATGAATCTGGGGTCGGTTAGCATGCTAACCCCCCTTAGAGGTTGGAAAAATGACACCCCCTAGTATATTAAATACAACTATAGAATTTAATACACACATTAAATACACATTAGGAATTAAATGCACCATATTAATTATTTGTTTTTTTAAATTAAAACCTACACTAAATACATTTTCTCTCACTATATTTGATTTTTCCTTTTTCAGCAGTCTCCGACCACCAGACTTCCTCCGACCGCCACACTTCTCCGGTGAAAATCCCATCGGCAGACTCCCTCCGACCACCTCCAAAAATATACCACTGCACTGGTAGCGATATCAGTGCACTGGTAGCAATGTCATATCTGAGTATCAGTGCAGTGGTACAAATACCAGTACAGTGGTACAACATATCAGTGCAGTGGTATATTTTTGCATGTGACCGGAGAGAGTTTGTCGGCGGATTTTACCGGCGAAGTGTGGTGGTCGGAGGAAACTTGGTGTTCGGAGGCTGCTCGGAAAGGAAGAATCAGAGATAGGAGTGAGAAAGATCAAAGATGAGAGAAAGAGAGAGAGAATTGTATTTTGTATATGTTTAGATTTTTTTTAAAAACAAGTAATTAATGTGGTGTATTTAATGCTTACTTTGTATTTAATAACAGAACATTTATTATGTTTACTTTCATTAATACTTGTCAATAATTAATAAAAAATTGACCAATTAAAAGGGGTGTCAAAAAACCAACCCCTTAAGGGGTTAGCATGCTAACCCGTCCCGATGAATCTTTTCTACTTAAGCCACCAAACATTTTTTCTAGAACAATGTCAATAATTGTCAAAAAATAGAACAATGTCAATAGTAAACCTTTTTACCAAAATCTTTTCATTAGGTTGCCGTTATGTCCATTTTTAAGTGAATGTGAAATAAAAAAAATTGCCCAGCTCTTTCACTTAAATTGTTTTTCCAAAACAAACCCTTCAATTATTTTCTTAAATATATGTCCTCAACTTTAAATTGTTTTCTTAACTACGTCCCTCCGATCAGCCTATTGTTATTTCACCTTCGATTTGAAAAATGAATTAATCGCTACAAAATAACACTCTGAACACAAGTAAGTGAACCAATGAAAGAGATGCATTACATTGATAATAAATTATTAATATTATAATGAATTGGTAAAATGGTACAACAAAAGGAATGTCTCACCTCGATGTGCTTTAAAGATAGATATTATGAAGGCGTTTGATAGTGTGGATTGGTATTTTTTGGTCACTGTCCTGAGGGCCATGGGAATCCCTGAGAAGTTTATTCAATGGATCAAATGTTGTTTAGAAACGACTAAGTTCTCTGTGTGTTTGAATGGAGGCTTAACTGGAAACTTCTCTGCCAAGAAGGGACTCAGACAGGGCTGCCCATTGTCACCATACTTGTTCACTATTAGTATGGAGGTTCTCTCCTGTATGCTTAATAGGGCAGCAGCAAGGAAAGTCCTATCTTTCCATCCTCAATGCCAAAGGATTGGGCTCACCCACCTCTGCTTTGCTGACGATCTTCTGATCTTCACAAAGGGTTCAGAAGAGGCAGTGGGAACAGTTGCTACAATCCTAGAGAAGTTTTATCTGGTTTCAGGGCTAAGATGTAATCCTTCTAAGAGTGAGATTTTTTGTGCGGGTGTGAATGAGGAGGTGAAGAAAACACTGGTTAATTGTTTTGGATTCAAAGAAGGAACTCTCCCTGTCATGTATCTGGGGATCCCACTCTCTGCAGGGAAACTGAAAGCAGTGGATTGCAAAGCATTGGTGGAAAAAATTACAAGTCGAATAAGAGGCTGGCAACCGAAGCTTTTGACATATGCTAGGAAAATTCAGTTAATAGTAGCAGTTCTAGCTAGCATATCTCAGTACCGGATGAATATCATCCAACTCCCCAAGAAAGTTATCAAGGAAGTGGAAAGCATGTGTTCAAAATTCTTATGGAGTAACATGGAACAGAACAAGAAAGCAAAGGTGGCATGGAAGCACGCTGCTTTTCCTAAGGAAGAAGGTGGACTGGGCTTTCGTGATTTATGGTCTTGGAACCAAGCTTGCCTGGCTAGACATATTTGGGTTGTTCTAGCAAATCAAGAAACTCTGTGGATTGCATGGTTGAAGGAGTACTGGTTACGCAACATTAGCATCTGGGAAACTCAAATTAGAGGGTCCTGGGTCTGGAACAAGATACTTAAGACTAGACCACTTCTTAATTCATCCCTGGTCTGTACTGAAGCTGGGGTAGAGTGGAATGGTGCTGTCATGACTAGGTTTAGTATAAAAACTGTCTGGGATAGCCTCAGACCTCGAAGAGAAACTGTTCCCTGGGCATCACTGGTATGGAAGGGGCCTCTGATCCCTAAGAATTCCTTAATAACGTGGTTGGTTATACAGGACAGAATTACAACGTTAGACAAAGTTAAGAAGTGGAACCCGGATGTTCTGGACATATGCCCCCTCTGTCATTCTGATCCAGAGACTCGTGACCATCTCTTCTTCTCCTGCTCTTATGTCAGGACTGTTTGGAGTATTGTGTTTGATCCTTGGCAGATTTCTCTTGGGTGGACTTTCCAAAGTGGGGTTTTAGCAGCTGTCACCAGGCTAGGTGACACGCCAAAACACAACACCTAACAACGGCCAAGTGTAACCAATGAAAGGGACTGCAGTATAGTGGCACAAGTAATAAATATCGAATCCACGGGTCTCTAGAGTTACTATTACTCAGCTTCAGTTCATTATCTAGCAAACTAGATTAAGGATTGATTAACTAAACTACTCTACTAACTAAACTAAGTAAAACTACTAATTACAGTTTGGGAACTCACTTAGGTATGATTCCCCCTAGCTCCTCAATTAGGTCCAAGTTGTAATTCATTTTGGTTGATTTACTGTTGATTAAACTGCGGAAGATCCGACAGTAGCTTGGAATCTCTTAAGCTGACCAAGCCCTCTCAGTCTAACTATCCGGCAGACGACTAGTCTTCACCGGGATAGAAAGCTGAAGCAATAAGCACAGAACTCCACTACTGGAATTGGATTCCAGTACAAAGCAGTGAACTGGCTAACTCTCGTATAGCCAATCTCCTACTACCGAATGATGAGACTCTAGCAACCTAATCAGATTCTATCTATCTCAGATTGCAGTAGGAATCAGGAAAAGTTGATCAGACTTCAATTGACTCAATAAACATGCATCATTCGATTATAATCAAACAATATAGCATCCAAAACTTCATACAAAAAAGATCCTAACTCATGGAACTAAGGTTCCTCAAAACCTAAGTGAAGGGAAGTTACTCCATAGAGAAGAGAGAGACTGCAGAAATCTGATCTAGATCTTCAATCTCCATCTCCAAGCTTGATTCCCGAGCTCCAATGGCGAAGAAATCCTCCAAAATAGCTCCAAGAATGTTCCCAAGTCGCTCTCTCTCTCTAGGGTTCGTCCCTTGGGTGTTTGGGATCCAAAACCCAGCTCTCCTCTTCTTTGGTTCGGAATTTGGCTTAAAACCAGGAAATCCCGACTCGCACGGCCAGGGTGCACGGCCGTGCATATCACCATTCTGGCCGTGCAACTCAAAACGCAGAGTGTCATTTAGTCGAACTTCAGCCCTCTCGCACGGCCAGGGTGCACGGCCGTGCGAGCTTCAGGGGTTGCCCGTGCGTGTCCTCGGCATAAGGCGCACGGCCATATTGCTCACGTGCACGGCCGTGCAGCCTCCCTGGTCTGCCCGTGCAGCTCCCCAAAAACCTCGCCATTCGTCCGTTCTTCGTCCAATCGACCCCAGACTCGCTCCTAAGCCTTCATTCACGTACTAGGACCTGAAACATCACAAACAAGCACAACCTAGCGTGAAATCGGTCTAAAACACGAGAAATCACATCTCAAACGGTGTAAGAACAGGGGTAAAAACATGTGTAATTAACGGTCTATCAAACTCCCCCACACTTAACCGTTTGCTTGTCCCCAAGCAAACCTAACTCAAACCAATGCAACTCTCCAGACCTCTATAGCAACAAACAACCCAGATCGTAGGTAGAGGACTTCCTAGATCATTTAGCAGCTTACGAGGTCAACCGACGCACAAGTCATCTCATAACTTCTTCGGCGAGTCGGCATCATGGCAAATAGTGAACAGAGGACAAATGGATTGTGGATGAAGAGATTCTCAAAAACAAAGGATCATGGACTCACATTTTTCAAGGTGCTCTATTTTCTTCTTGAAGATGGTTGAGACCCCTTTTTTTTCCTGTTTTGCTTGTTTTCTGATATTTTTCTTTTCTTTTCTTTTTCAAGGGTCCAACCTGCTCTTACCGGCCATGCCAGGAGCGGATGTCTCGAGCCTCGTGCGGGGGAAAGACATGTAAGGGGGCTGGAGGTAGTAGGTGGATATTGGGAATGAATTCCCGTCTCCCCTTACACACTTTCGCCCTATTCGCACGGGAGACGTTTATTTTGAAGCACATTTTCGAGCACCTGTTATTTTCAAAACATGATACAAGAGTCCATGACAGGTAGAAAATCCACAACACCACACAATTCAAGGGTCCTAAGATCACTAATTCACTCAATCAACCAACTTTATATGAAGAAGAAATGAGACTTCTTAAATGCATCAACATCCTCCATAGTGCTACACTACCTCCCTAGGTTGCATATTACTGTAAAGACTGCCAATTCAAAGCATACTGAGCAGGCAATTGCATGGAACACGTACTTGGAGCCCTCAAATTTAAAAATTTGGACAGTGGACTAGGCTCCAAGCACACAAACAGCCAAACATTCACCCGCATACATAGTCGAACATCCCCCCACACTTAAGCACGACATTGTCCTCAATGGAGGAAAGATAAGGAGGGTAGAACGAAGTTACCAGATCAAGGGTGAATGATGATGAACGGGTCAGGCGGTGCATTCCAGGAGGAGAGAGTGATCAGAACACAAACACCACACAAAATCTCACAAAGGTTGAGTTATTGACTCTAAAATCAAATAACAAAACTGACTCAACCGAGGAGAAATAGAGAAAGAAATGCAAACCGACTGGTTGGGTTGCCTCCCAACAAGCGCTTCTTTCACGTCGTGAGCCGGACGATGGCTCCTAAGTTTCGGTCCATGCTAGAACCTCCTTGAAGTTGAGGTTCTCGTCGATGAGGTGGAGTCTCAAGTCACGAGCATGTGGTGTGGCAGGTGATGAAGGCTCATGTACTTGATGCAGATGAAGTCTCCACCCTCGAGACCTCTTCTTCTCTTCTCTCGTCTCATTGCCCCAAACCAGATATGACAGCATCGATTGGCCACCATCGCGTCCACCAAGAGGGACCGATGTTGATGTGGCCTTGGTCTGGCAAAAAGACACTGCAAATGGGTCCCTGCCAAGCAGCTCCTCGAAGTTTGGTGGAGATATCAAATGTAACATAGGGCCGGTGCAGGCCTCTTCCACCTTAACTTCATCCTCAGCCTGGACGCCAATTGCTTCCTCAACCCCCCTTTCTTCTCCAAAATGTGGTCTCTCCCCTGGGAAAAGATCAAGAACCACCTCTTCTTTTCTTTCTTCCTCATCCTTGCTCGCTCTTCTTCTTCTAGAACAGATTGGAGAGCAAGTCGCCAAGCAATTTCTTCAATGGGATCATCTTGCATCTCCTCGCACGGGCCCAGCATGTTAGAGCATAAATGAGGAAAGGTGTGGTCTGCAACCAAAGGACTTTCCTGATCATGATTATCATAAGAGTTCTCTGTGATAACTTCGGTATGCTCCTCAACGCTCCCATAGCCTTTGTCATCCTCCACCTCTTCTAGCGTGGTAGCAGAAAGGTGATCTTGGGCAAGATGCGAGCAAACTTGCTTCACCCACTCTGTTTGCTTCGCTGAGCGCTGAACAGTCTCCTCCATATCATGGAGAAATGAGGGATCGGAAGTGGCAAGGGCTTTGATTTGAAGATCCATCTTGGAGCATGATTTCTCAGTGTCTCGAGCAAACTGCTCCACGAGAAGCCTTAATTATTTGTTCGGATCTTCCAGTGAAGTGTAGCATGGCTCTTCAGAGTGGCCCGTGAAGGCCGCCATGGGTAACTCAAGATCTGATGGCCCTTCTTGTTGTGGGAGGAATTCTTCTTGATAAGGAGATTGTTCTTGATATGCCCAGGGGTCTAGTTGTTCTCCGTAGAAAGGGGGTTGGTACTGGAACCCGAATCCATAGTCTTCTCCTCCTTGATTGCTGTAGGGAGTCGCGGGGTAATACCACTCGGATGGTGGTGGATACCCCCAATGGTTGGAGAAGCCATGAGGATCCATGACTCAGATCTGCACCAACAAAAACAAAAACACCCAAGTGAAAAGCAAGGGTGGAAAAGAAAATAAAAGAAAAACGCTAAAGTAACAAACTTCTGCCTTTCCTAATAATCTAGAAAGTTCCCCGGCAACGGCGCCAAAAACTTGACACGCCAAAACACAACACCTAACAACGGCCAAGTGTAACCAATGAAAGGGACTGCAGTATAGTGGCACAAGTAATAAATATCGAATCCACGGGTCTCTAGAGTTACTATTACTCAGCTTCAGTTCATTATCTAGCAAACTAGATTAAGGATTGATTAACTAAACTACTCTACTAACTAAACTAAGTAAAACTACTAATTACAGTTTGGGAACTCACTTAGGTATGATTCCCCCTAGCTCCTCAATTAGGTCCAAGTTGTAATTCATTTTGGTTGATTTACTGTTGATTAAACTGCGGAAGATCCGACAGTAGCTTGGAATCTCTTAAGCTGACCAAGCCCTCTCAGTCTAACTATCCGGCAGACGACTAGTCTTCACCGGGATAGAAAGCTGAAGCAATAAGCACAGAACTCCACTACTGGAATTGGATTCCAGTACAAAGCAGTGAACTGGCTAACTCTCGTATAGCCAATCTCCTACTACCGAATGATGAGACTCTAGCAACCTGATCAGATTCTATCTATCTCAGATTGTAGCAGGAATCAGGAAAAGTTGATCAGACTTCAATTGACTCAATAAACATGCATCATTCGATTATAATCAAACAATATAGCATCCAAAACTTCATACAAAAAAGATCCTAACTCATGGAACTAAGGTTCCTCAAAACCTAAGTGAAGGGAAGTTACTCCATAGAGAAGAGAGAGACTGCAGAAATCTGATCTAGATCTTCAATCTCCATCTCCAAGCTTGATTCCCGAGCTCCAATGGCGAAGAAATCCTCCAAAATAGCTCCAAGAATGTTCCCAAGTCGCTCTCTCTCTCTAGGGTTCGTCCCTTGGGTGTTTGGGATCCAAAACCCAGCTCTCCTCTTCTTTGGTTCGGAATTTGGCTTAAAACCAGGAAATCCCGACTCGCACGGCCAGGGTGCACGGCCGTGCATATCACCATTCTGGCCGTGCAACTCAAAACGCAGCGTGTCATTTAGTCGAACTTTAGCCCTCTCGCACGGCCAGGGTGCACGGCCGTGCGAGCTTCAGGGGTTGCCCGTGCGTGTCCTCGGCATAAGGCGCACGGCCATATTGCTCACGTGCACGGCCGTGCAGCCTCCCTGGTCTGCCCGTGCAGCTCCCCAAAAACCTCGCCATTCGTCCGTTCTTCGTCCAATCGACCCCAGACTCGCTCCTAAGCCTTCATTCACGTACTAGGACCTGAAACATCACAAACAAGCACAACCTAGCGTGAAATCGGTCTAAAACACGAGAAATCACATCTCAAACGGTGTAAGAACAGGGGTAAAAACATGTGTAATTAACGGTTAGCATAGTTGAATTTTTGGTTTTTCTGTGTTTGCTATGCAGAGTTGAAAACATAGAAGGGAGATGTAATTGACAGTTTGTATGCTGATTGTATGATGAATAAAGCTCACCATTCATAAAAAAAAAAATTAATATTATATCATCAGCTCTATATATCTACTAGTACTCAAATTCAATTTATTATCGAGCAACGTCAATGTTAGGGTTTGATTACTTTAAACTACTAAATCTAAAATACAAAATGATGAATTTGAATGTTATTCAGAATGGGAAAGTTCACTCAGTTAATGATTCCCCCTATCAACTAGCTCGATTGGTGATAGTTGCGGTCCTACATATTAAGTGAAGCAAACAGGACTAGTTTAATCCCAATGGTTGACAAGGTAATCGCTCAAGAAAAAGTTTATTTCGCTAACATGTAAAGCATAGATTAGTACTGATCGGTTCACTAAATAGCATACCACGAAAGTGTAAAATGAATAAGATTTGGACTTTGAGAGTGGCTTGGTATCTCAATTTTGTGAGGAACAATTGAAAGTCAACATCTTGTTTACACTCTTAATCTAATAGTAAACTTTGAAAGGAAACAAAGTTTTTATTAATTTTCATTGAAATACAGTTGTTAATCGACTCTCAACAAGCAAAAGGAGCACTTGGATCGTAAAGCAAGCTATTACCGCCAAACTCAAAAAGGCGTTGCAAACTACCCCCAACATTTCCTTTATCAATCGCACCGTAGTGTACTCTATCATCTTGATAGATTTCACAATCTGCAGGATTATAATCAAGAACATCATTTTCATCTACAATTCTGATTGAACTAGCATAACCATCTAGTTTTGTGTCTCCATAAGGCCGGCAACCAGATCCCATTGGCGGGATTACAGTTCCCGGAGGACTGTAAACTTCTCCTCCCCATTCCACGTAGTTGGCATAATTTGCTAATCCATTGAATATTTCTGTCGGCCAAAACCCTAAAACCTTATTGTGAGGTCCAAATCTGAAAACCCAATCTCCACTGTAAAGATCCTGCTTTCACAATAAAGGAATCATCTACCTTTAGAAATTTGATATAGACATTTTCATTCAACTATCTTTTCTAAATTAAAATGAATGAATTGCTTATCAATAAATAAATTAGTGAAAAACACTAAGATATATATCTAGGTTTTTGTTGAGTGTTAAAAAGATTACCTTGCTAACATTAAAGTTTTGTATAAATATTGGTCCGCCTCTTTTGGAAACAGGTCGAAGAACAACATCCAATGGTATCTCATGGTTCGTCAACACAAATCCCGGGCAAAAGGTGTTGTAGCAATGCACATCCTTAGTCTGAGAAGTACAAATATATATATTGAAATTGTGCTCTCTCCTCATTTTTTATAATAATGTTAATAGATATGGTCATTGTATGATGATAATAGTAAAACAACAACCACATAATCATAATGATTCATCAAAACACTCACATTTGTGTATATGAAAAGTCGAGTCTGACTATCTTGATACAGGCTCGGATTAACCTTAAACATAAAAGACAATATGAAAAATGGGTTTATTTATAATCGTATCATTAGTCTATCATATGTAGCAAAGTCAATAGAGAAGGATGAAATATTAGAAAATAACAATTAACTACTTACTGTCCATCCAACAGCAATACTATCAAGACCATTTTCCAATTTTACACGACTAGAAGTGTATTGATTGGCTCCAACGTTATGACTATATACGGTAGTCCACATTCCGCCTCCATGGTACCTTTTGTCCCCGGTAGACCTAAGTACCGCAACCTATGTAACAAAATACATGGTTCCACCATCAAGAAATAAGTATGATTACCATACATATAAACAAAAAAAAATATATATATATATTAAGTCAAAAGTAATTAATTGAAGGTAAATTAATATGAAACTAACCAAGAATGATCTAGCTAGCGAATATTAATGGACACTTTCTAGCTACATCTCCTGTGGTGATTGTAAGGCATGAAACCTTGTCATTTTTAAACGGTGGTGTTGGATCAAATGATAACCACAGGTATACAATTGTACATGATCAGATCTAGTCCGTTAATTTTAAGTGGGCTTAAATATGATGGTTGAGATTAAAAAGCTTTAAAATCCTCACTTTCTTAAAACAACTTGTATGGCATTGGTTTTAATCCAGATTTTTAAAATGTTACAGAGAGAAGTGGTTCACTGAGATCTACAAAATAATATCCAATTTAGGTATGTTTGGGGTAAAATTTATTTGGACCATCTGTTGCTACTCTTTGCCTCTTTCGTTTAACTCGTATTTAAAAAAAATTGAATACAAAAAACGTGTTCATTGTGATCTACCAAATGATGTCGATTCTCTATATATTTCGGAATATGTTTTTTTAGTCCAATGATACGTTCTCTACCATACTGTAGATGATAGTTATTATATTCTTACCATCGTTCTAAAATATGATATATTTCAACCAATATATTATAATATTATGTACCACTAAGCTCTACCAACATGGTATAATTTGGTAAAAATGTCTTTATAAATATTTAATTCTTTTGCTACAAAATATATCCAAGTGATGTGGATTGGATATTATAATTAATATGATTCTTTTTGTACCAACATGGTATAATGAGGTAAAAATGTCTTTATAAATATTTAATTCTTTTGCTATAAAATATATCCAAGTGATGTGGTTTTGGATAGTATAATTAATATGATTCTTTTTGTTCAAAAATTTCCAAATTCAATTTAAACGAATGAGATATAATCTATGAACGGTACAAACGAAGACGATTTGTAGATGCTACGTCGAATATTAATAAATATCCCTTTGTAGTTTTTCATATTATATTATTATTTTCTCAAAATGTAAGAAAATCTTTGTCAACCACTCATAGACAATTCATTGAAAACCTTATTACAAACAACCAATAGTGTACAACTATTATCTGCACTTGAAATGTAGGATATATCATAAACACACATGATAATTAATAACTTACATGAACACCTGGATTGAGGTTGGACGCAAGAGAAGCATCAAGGTTTGCTTTGTGCAAATCACTTATTGCAGTCTTTCTAATTGGCACCGTTCCAATTGGACATCCTTTACCATTTAACCATATGTATGATGGTTCGTCCCCATATGAGGTTGAGTTAGTTGCTCTAACTTCCAAACCTCGATAATAAGAGTTTATCATCTATATGTGGATTAAAAACATATAGTTATTACATATCATAAATTTAAGTAAAGGCATTACTTAATGAATTAGAGTACTCAATACCTGAAAATTAAATTTACGATTCTTCAATGCAGGATGATCGAATGCTGGTTGATGATAGAAATCCATACAATTATATGTGTCTCCATGAATTGTCTATTTGATTTGAGAAAGAATCAAAATTTAAAGTCACTTTGATGCTATTAATTAAAATTATATAAGAAAGAATACAGATTTTTCATAAAATCATTTATCAATGTCACCTGGATAGTGGCAACAACTGGCCTATCCACATTAGAAAACTGTTTTCTGGATTTTCCAAATACCATCTGGGATGTAAGGACGTTAATTTCTGATAACAAGACAAAGCATAGCAAAAGAAATATGAAGGCATAACTCGAGGTTGTACGCCTAATGTTCATCTTTAATTTCCTGCAACAAATAAAAGCTCTTAGAAAATGAGTTAATATCTAAAAAGCAGGGCACTTATTAAGCTCTCTTCAACATATTTGTAAGATACTTACACTTGCTTCCCCCTTGAATTTTCTCTGTGTATATTTCAAACTGAATTATTCTACTATTCATGAATGCTAACGACCTTTATATAGAGAGAAAGTGTTATTATGTTGAAGGTCATATTGATAATTTCACTAAATTATAATTTTGATTTGTTCGAAGCATTCAATGTATTGGTACATCAAATTGGATAATAATGTACCATAAAAACGGATAAGAATAAAAGCTTTTTACAGTAATGATATCAACAGTTGCTTTTTTTTGGTTTCTATATATTATAAGAAATAATGTTAACCACAATTTTACTTTTATAGTCTGTCATTAAAAATTTATTTCATTTATTTATTAATTTTAATAAATATTAGCTTATATAGTGATTGGTCAATAATATTATCTTCAATATTAAGTTTCTTCTTTATATAATAGGCTAAAAAGATAAGAACATAAAAAGATTTATGTACTTAAGACAATAATGTAAACACATGCTTTTTTGTGTTTTCTATATTTAAAGCAATAATATCAACATAATCACTCTTTTCTTTTCATCTTCCTAATAAAATTGTATTTTTTATTTTTATTTCTTCCATAAACTTATTTTTTATTTTGTGCGTCATTACTATTTATCATTGAATTTAACAGAGCTACCTATCTAGTACGAAACAAGTCATGGCATCCATAGATAGACTACTATCCGACTTTTATTTCAGACTTCTAGGTATGTTGCAATTTTTTGCTGGGGTCGTTTGAAAATTGGAGTATGAATCTCTAGATTCCAATGAAGCCGAAAATCACAACTTCTACAATTTTTCAAAATTAAGTCTAGCTTTTTTTTATATATAACTCAAATAAAGAAATAGTATCTCATTTCAGTAGAGATTTAATACTTATTTTTCAGGGATTTCAAATATCTATACCTAGTATCTCAATTGCTAAATTAGCAAAAAAAAAACATGGATTTCTTCAAAGTCTATGGATTCCATGAATCCCTCCTCCGTATCACATTCTCATCTTCTTATCCGTTCTTGAGATGTTAATGACAAGGGGAAAAAGAGACGAATAATCAATCCACTACGTATGGAGTCCCTGCTTATGGCTCTTGAGTCTAAGCCATAGTGTTGGCTCCTTTGTTATCACTACATACTATATTATAAAAATGATTGAATGTAAAATCAAACCCCGAATTGTGAGTGTAGACACCATATTTTGTCCGAATTTCGATCTCTTAGATATCGAACTGTTTCAACAATCTAAAGTGCAGCGTGATTGGAATTATCTGCAAACAACAGCGAAGTTAAGAATTGAAAAGTATCACAATTTGGGTTTTCCGATTAGAGGATTTGATCAATGAGAAGATTAGTTCAATGTTGGAAGCCAAGGACGAAAATAACTCGTTCACAAATTTGAAGTCTATTACAAAACGACACTACAAATTTTGGATTTGCATCATTACTCAATAATCCCTAATACAATGGGCTAAGTTTTGATTTGTATCCAAACTTGGCCTAGCACAAGGAAGCCCAGATCAGCAGCCTGCAAAACAAAGAAGAGATGAAAATCAGCCCACAGTTCAAAGACCAATCAAGCCCAGGGCTCGGCCCAAATTCCAGCCCATTTCGAGCCGAGCGAAGCCCATCAACAAGCCAATTCGGCCCACAATTCCAGCCCAATCGGCCCAAACGCAGCAAACCCAACTCAGCCTTATCCAAACCCATTGATGTCCATCTTATCTCCGGATTCCACATTTCAAGGGAGGGCAGAAATTTTGCAGACACAGCCTGAAAATCAGCCAATTACACGACAACATGTGGCGCTTTCTTTTGCTATTAAAGAGCTTTTGGGGCTCTTAGTTTTGGAGGATTTTTTTTAGAGGAGAGGGGAGGCGCCGGAGAAATAGTGAGCAGATATAGAGAAATATTTTTCAAAAACTTTTCTTCCTTTTTGCACTTGATTCAAAGTTGTAATAGTTGATGATCTACTTGGAGATCTAAAGTTGCCCACAAGTTCAAAATTGTAATAGCTGAAGAGCCAGATTTCCGGGATCCAAGGTTGCCCACCAGGTTGGTGCTTGTAAACCAAAAACTTTTTCATTGAATGACATAGAGCCTACTTTTCACGAATTAATTCTTGTGGATTCCACCTTCTGCTTCCTTCATATTGCTACTACTATGAGTTTCTATGTGTTTTGCTTAAGCACTTAACTATTCGGATTAAGCTCGTTTCAATTGAGCATTTGTTTGTTTTTCTCATACCGTCAATTTCTATGCTACTCTAAATCCCTGCCATGCTTTCAGATTCCCTTTTTTTAGTACTTAGTAGAAAAATATTAGATCATCGTGCACAAACAAATTAAAGTAAAACTCAATAGACAGAGGTCGATAAGATGAGCAAGAACCAGATCCAATGAAAAATCACCATAGCATAATAAATTTCAGATTCACAAACCATCAACAACCTTCAAACCAACCCTACTATAGCAAAAATCACAGGCAGTAGCAGTGACTTCTAATAGTCAAAATTATCCATTTAGAGCACGTTAATTACATCAAAATTACAGAAAAATCACCTTTAGCAACTCCTAATATATCAAGAGTCACTTCAAAAACCCAGCTATTCTAATACAATTGGTAAAAACTACTGTCTAGATTTAGCAAATAGCAAGTAGCGGCTGCTATGCTTAAAGCATTAACCCTTTTTTAGTCATTTTGATTTTAGATAGATTTTGTTAAACCGTTGTTTGGTTTAATAAAAATCGAAAACTCAGAAAATATATGTTTCTCTAAAGTTCTTATTTGCAAATAAACCAAAAACCCAAGATAGTATTATCTTCTAGTGAATTCAGCCTTCTTAATTTATGCTAAATAAATTGGAATTAGGAAATCTCACCCAGCCGGTTTCTCATCCAAACCTGCAAGGAAGAAGAACAAGTTTTTTTGAATTAAATCAAGTTTCTGTTACATACTAAATAAAAAAGATGGATTAACATGAAATTTAGAAATCTCACCTTTCCCTTTTGATTCGAAAAGTTGCCGCTGCGCAGGGCTCGCCGCCGACCAAAGAAAAAAATAAAAATAAATAAAGGTCAGAATATTGCAAAATAAACAGAATAAAGTAGAATAAACATATTAGATTCAGCCTGCTTACATCGCCGGTAGTCGTAGTGACGGCGGCGACCCAATCTCAATCGACGCTTTCCCTCGCACAATACCAAAAACAAAAACAAAACAAAAAAAACATCAGAAAACAAAACTTCTCAAAATCACCTAAAACGAATTGAAAGGACCATGCATGTCAAGGATCTTACCTAGATCGACGACTCCCGAGGAATTTAGGGAGGCTAGAGTCGTGCTCTTGCCTGAATCGAAAGGGGAGTTGTTCTCCACTTTCTGGCGTTTGCTCTTCCTCCCTGCCGAAAACGAAAAACGAAAAACAAAAACGAAGCCCCAAATCATAATCATACATAAATGAATAAGATCGAAATCTAAACTAGTAATAAACATGCATGCCCCAATCTTACCCGATCTGTGGCATTCTTGGTCGGATTAGCTAGATTCGATTCCGAGCCACCTCCTTGTCCAACCGTCGCCAATTAGAAAAGAGAGGAGTAGCCTCGCTTCGACTCATTTTCTGGGTAAGACGAGGGGGTGGGAGAGGGAAAATATGGTTTGTTATTTCATTTTCTCTTGGGTTCGCTTCGTCCTTCTAGATGGGATGAGAAGGATCGAGAAAGGGAAGAATGAGAAGGATGACGACGCTGTTTGGAGGCTAGGGTTTCGGGTTCTCTAGGGTTTTACTTCTCTGGAAGAGAAGAGGAGAGGCGAGAGTGAGGGGAAGAATCAAGAAGAAAACAAGAGGTATAGCTGAAATTATGTACCCATGCCACCGCGTATTTGTGTATTTACGACACTACCCTCCCCCCTTTCTCTGAAATAAAAACGAAAATCCCAAAATTGTTGAGGCCAGGTTTCAAACCCGCGTGCTCGTGAGCACGCATTGTGACTGGCAACTTAGCCACTTGGGCTGCTAGCCCATCATGCATTAATTTAACCATCCCTTGTAATGTTATTTGTTTAAAGTCCTTAATACGAAATGTTGAATGCGGATTAAGTTCCTCTTGTTTCTTTTCTAATACGTCAAAGTACTTCCTAAATAACTAAAATCTTTACATTTATTGTCACAACTTCATAATAATCTGAATGAAATTTTATTAACAAAATCATAATACTAAAATTACGTTCATTGGAACATGGTAAAAGTTATAATTAAAACGATCAAAGTTACAACGAACTACGTGGAATTTGATTCTGTATTACAGGTACGTAAGCAATCGATGAGGTTCGAGTCCAACTAATTAACTAACTTTATCTTTAAATTTTTACGTCAGTGGGCGTATAATTAAATTACAACTAATACAATTTAATTCTTTAGTGGTCCGGTAAGGCCCTAAAAATACCTAATAATAAACTAATACGATAAATTTATTCAATGGTCCAGTGGGACCCCTAAAATTACTAAATTATTACTAAAAATACACTCAACTAATATAAAACTTATCAAACTTAAGTAGTACCGATTAGGGCGTTGTGGGGTGTGATTTCACTTCCCCACACGTAACCATGCTCTCGAACCCGAATCTCTTAATCGCAGACCAAGCCCCGGTTCTGACCTAAGATTAGAGTCGATTCGAATAGTGTTCGATCCACTCCAAGTAAGATCGATGGCGACTCCCAACAGTTGCGACAGTGATCGATGGCGACCCGACGGACCCGACTTCCAACAGTAAGATCGATGGCGACCCGACGGACCCGAAGGGACAGTTGCGACGGTGAGTATTTTCCAATGAAGCCGCTCAAATAATGTCACTATTAAACGTATTTTCTAACCAAACCATTTTCATTAGGTTGTCGTTATGTCCCTGTTAAAGGAACCTGAAATAACAAAATTGAGATTGACCCTCCCTTTCAATTAAAAGTTTGTTCATAAGCAATCACATCGAATTCAACTATTTTCTGAAGTATTGGGAAATCATAAGGTACAAAATTCTCTCCTACAAAACCACTACAAAACTGAATCTACATCCGTCCATTTTATAACGATCCAAAATAATTTCCAACGAAAAATCTCGAGTGGCAAACTGTTTATTTATTCACCCTCTGTTTTTTAACTTACATGGATCTAGAGGAGAGAAAATCTTTTTCTAATCAACTATTTTTCTTAATGGAATTATATCTCCTTCATTTTAACTCGGAATGTAAAATAATTTACATAGAAATGACACATTAATTAAGATTAACACAATGATATCCATTCTTCTATATTTTGAAGAAAGAAAAAAAATTAGCTCTTCAAAACACATGTTGGTTGTAGTATGGTAAGACTGAGTGCATATCATGATATGATAGTAGTATGATTTCATCAAATTATAGTGATAATATCATGATATGATAGTGGTATGATTTCATCCAATTATTTTTCTCAAACATAACACTTCATACTAAGATCATACTACTATCTTACCGTGATATTATCACTATGATTTAATGATAATATCCTGATATGATGTCATCAAATTTTGTCAAACATAAGACCTCATCTCAACATCATATCATTATCATATCAACACCATATCAACATAATAATACTATCATATCACTATCATTGGTAATATCGCGATATGATAGTGGTAAGATGACCTAAAAAAATATTGCTCCGGAAATATTAAATTGTATATAATTTTGTAGAGCACAAAAAACTGATTTTTTTTGCAAAAGTTTTTGAAATTTGATGCATAATGAGTAAGATAAAGCTCGTTGAATTTTTAAAGGAGATTTGATAAGTATTTTAATAAGCGCCTGAGAATCCACGCCAGCCTCCCAAAATCATGTTAGCTGCCCAAAAAATCTAGTCAACCCTCTCTCCAAACTCCTACTTTCCCTCTTTATCCCTCTACAAAGATGACCATTAAATCATTTACATCTCAATCTCAGCCATCCATTGTGGTTTTGTAGTACTACAAAACCATAGAGTTTTGTATCCTAACCCAAACCAAAAATATCCTGCAACTTCAAGTTGCTTTCTTAACCAAGTCCCTCTAATTATCCTATTTTTAATTCACCTTTGATTTCAATATTGCAATGAAATCCCTATCTAGCTAGGTTTCGATATGACAATTGTTAGAAATAAACCTTTATGAATTAGTATGACTCCTCAGGATAAGCAACCCTAAGAATGTTGCAAAGATCCTAACTTAAGAGTCATTCATTGAAATACCTAGTAGGTGTTATAACACATAGAAATTACAATTTTATACCCCTAATTTATGGCAGGTTTTGTATGACTTTCACATCTTTAGTGTCATAATCGGTTGGAAATGCTTGTTAATCACTCGAATGTATGTTTAGTAGCTATCATAATTGTTTTACTATTTTGATTCACTTTTGGTAGAGTTTCGTGTGTTTTCAGGCCAAAGTGTCCTGGCGGACCAACCTGGATGAGTGGGAGACATCAAGGCCTAGCTGCTGGAAGTCAGAAATGGAGTTTGGATGAAGCCCAAAAAACGGCGTAGAATTAGGCGGGCCAAGCTAGAAATTGGTGTCGTGGTGCCATTTTTGGAGAGTCCCAAATCAGCCCAAATTCGAGAGAATATGCTATAATTGGAGGTTAAGTTCGAGATAAACCTAAAGGATTCGGCTGAATGAGTTTCTACCCTACTTTTTCTCATAGAAAACCTTACAGAAGAGCTTTTAAATAGACCCTTTTGGGTAATAGTCGAAGAGAGAAGTTTTCGGGGAGGTTAATCTGCCGACAAAGCGACTCTCCAACAAAGAAATCAACCAAAACTCAAGGGCATATCAGCGACAGAATCACCACCCTCGACGTCATTTTTCGTTTTTGGCTGTCAAATTTCAGTCTGTTTTGGGATCATCGCCTATGATTATTGTTCTCCCATGAATATGTTCCTATGAGTGGCTAGTTCGTTAGTTGTGTAGGTTTGCGAATCCTAGAGGTTCTTTAGACAACTATTGATATTTGGTAACATATGAGTGTTTCAATCACTTCTTATGATTGATTTCTATGTTTTGTTTATTGTCAACTAAGTTGTGTGGTAAAGCGAAGCTATGATCTCTTGTGATGTATACTTCCAAATCAGACTTTATGTTGGATGTGACTGGACCAGACCGTCCTTCACAATCGATAAAACTGCGTTATACCTCAAGGGAGGAATTTGTAGGTCCTTGTAGCTTGATAACACTCAACTTATAGTATTTATTACTCTCATATTTAATATATTTTCTCCTTCTATCAATGCATCTTTAGTGTATTTATATTATTTCATATGAATATCGTTACTATTTGAATTATGTGCCTAAGATAGAACTTGAGTGTTTTGTATTATTGTACGACTTTTGGTGTTATTTTGTGCTTTTCAAGGATATAATACCACTACAAGAAAAAATATCATTCAACAACCACAAAAAAGGTTGCAAAATAAAAAAGAATAGTGGTCGTCAAATGATGTTGTGACCACATTTGTCAGTTGCCATAGCGGTCGTATATGCACCGTCGTCTTAGGTTAATGCGACCACTTAGAAGAATGATCGCGGAAAATATCCACATTGTCGACCTTATATAATGGTCGCCGAATGTAATCATATTGCGACCATCTTATTTTGGTCTCATAAGATCATGTTTTGCGACCAATATATATGATCGCGGAATGATTATTTCTTTACATGGCCATTAATAGTGGTCTCCCATGCCTTTCTTTGTCGTCCATTTACTTGTTTTGCTGGAGGTGTTTCTTTGGCGACCATTTGATTTGGTCGCAGTGGTTGTAAAATGCATAAAATAATTATATATTTTTTGTACCTTGGAAGATGTAGAACAAATCCTATTGTACATTAGATAGGAAATGGAATAGTATGATTACAAACATAAGATTATTACTAACAACAAGTATAATGTATTGTATACATCATTGTTCAATAAAAGTTTCAAACTCTCACTTCACACAATTAACTAGGATTATGGCCAATTATTTTGAGATGACCTAACTAGTCGAGACAAGTTTCTCATAGGAAATACTTCTAGCACTTCTCAAATGTTCACCTAGCTTGCACCACTCGATAAAGTTATTAAAACTTAAGCTCCCATCATGACACCAAGCTTCAAGAAATAAATTAAGTGCATAAGTTTCAAGAGGAGAAAGAGCGATCTTTTCTACCAAAAAAAAGAAAGAGCGATCTACTTTGGAAGCTCTTTAAATGATTCTCCGCAACCTTTTATTTCTTCCAACTTAAGCCATAAGAAAACACTTAATAGATTAACATTTCACACACCTATGTACTCTAACTAGCTTTCATTTCTCCCAACTTAAGCCATAAGAAAACACTTAATAGATTATCATTATTTCACTCACCTATGCACTCCTAACTAGCTTTCAACTAAAGGAATGGAGGCTACCCTTGTGGTCTCGTCACCGACCGCCCTTTCAATGGGAAGTTTCTCGCGTTGGTGTTTGGCAACGAGGAGCCGACAAAGTTGGGCCCGAAGAGGTGTTGGTGGAGGTGTTGCATGTTGTTTCTGTTGCCTTCCCACGGGTTGTTGGGCTTCACGCTTTCCTTCTTGTTTCTTTTCCTTCTCAGGACTGGTTGGAGAATGAGCGTTTTTTTGGCTTGCAACAACGGTGAGGAGCCAGGGGCAAACAAGCGACGGCTATGGTTAAGAGCTTAATTCAGATCGGGCTTGTGTGTGGGCCCTATTGGGTTTCCAGGTTGTTGTTTGGGCTTCGTTCTTTGGGCTTGTCTTTTTGGCCTTTGTTGTCTTTTGTTTGATTTGTAACCTTTTTCATTGGGCTTTGCCCTTTTGCATACTTAATGAATACCTTTTAAAAAAAAGAATGGAAATGGAAGGAATGAAAATTATTTAAATCATTATTTATTAATATATTTTTAAGGGCATGACTTTCTTACCATTCATTTTATAGATCCTCTATTGACTGCTTGCTTACAAAAGTGATGAACTTGTACTTTATTATCCTCTTAAGTCAGTAACTTCTATATCCTTCTCGAGGCCAACTCCGACATCTACACAAAGATCAAAGATGGACTCAAAACAAGGGGAGAAGAAGCAAAAACATGATAATTTTCAATAATCATTACAATGAACTAAAGCTAACTCCGACATCTAAAAACTCTAATTGTAATAATCAACTTGCATCTATATAGGTCAACCTTAACAAGTGTGTTGTTCCTTAGAATTAGATAAAAGCCATGTAGTTACTAAAAAGGCCTCTGTAATTCATTTGTTAATTAACCCAATAACAGGTTCACAGGTTTGTAGTTATTAAAAGGGTCTGCTCTGATCGTAACAAGCATCATTCATCACATTAGTAGTGCATGAAAGATGAACAAAAAACCTTGTCAGCGGTAATAGGTAAAATGCATACCTCTGCTAAGACAGACTTATGAACATTTTGGCAGGTCAAGGAAAAAGGACGTGAACTGCATATGCTTGGACAACTTGCTCGACCCTTGCATAAGTTAGTTTCAACCAGCTGCAATTTTCGAATTTAACATACAATCAAGAAAAGAGGCATAAAATCATATTCCAAAGGTGCGAGAAATTATCATAAAGAATCAAAACCAAGTTCAATTTGAAGAAAGGAAGGTTGAATTCAGTCAAAATTGAAAATCCCCAATATGGGAGTTCCCAAAACCTATGTCATACGGGAGAAGAGTGGGGTTTTCACAACGAATGAGTTAGGGAAAGATCCGAAAAGGATGGGATGCTGGAGGAAGGAGAGATGCTGGTTGTTGGTGCGGCAAAGGGTGGCAACAAATGCGGAGGTGGGATGGTGGTGGGTCGTTGGAAGGGATAGTGGTGGTGTTTTGAGGTTATTGTGGTGAGAAGAAGGGAAGAATAATGGGGAAGAAGGGAAATTATTGGTGCTATAGGTTTTTGCTTTTATGGTACAATTTAAAATTGTACATTTATGTTATGGTACAACTTCATATTGTACCTATACTTTTTGTACAAATTCTTTTATGGTACAACTTGAACTTGTACCTTTATGTGATGGTACAACTTCAAGTTGTAAAGTTGTACCATAACATAATGATACAAATTGTTTTATGGTACAACCTAAACTTATACATTTAATGTTACGGTACCACTTTAAGTTGTACATTAAAGCACCAATACTATATAACATAATAGAAGTGCTCATTTTCAAGTGCATGTCCGGCAAAAACAGTCCGTGGAATGCAGAAGGGCCACAAACCAACATTTTATCTTTGATTTGGATCTTATTTGGTTAGATTTTCCACGGGAGAAATATGTTATTTCGGATCCCCTTACCCTTCCATACAACTCTGAACCAATCTTCCTTGGCATTCTAAAATGTTGTTGCTCCCAGATTTTCTGAATGGAGTTCAAATGATATCGGACATAAAACTGGTTGAAATAGGTTCGGTATGACCAACATGATCGATTTCTTGTGTCTAAAGAAAATGATATTGTCTTACTGAATTTTACTAACAAAAATTCAATTTTTGATTTATTTAATAAATTTGAAAGTTAAATCTTGATGTTACTTATTGGATTCGAGTATAAACATTGGATATTGACGTTAAATGTTATATTTAAATATGATAATTATCACTTTGTTTGTAATGTTATATTTTATTCAAAAATGAATGTAGATTGTAGGAGGATTATTGTCTTGAAATATCTTTTTATAAATTTAAATTCATTTTATATTAATGGTTCCTTACTTCTCTACATATTTTGTTAAACTGGAATAAATCGGTTATACTCCGGTTTGACTATATTCCTTGCTAAACCGATGTAACAATATAAATCGGTGTCACAACCTTGGTTATACCATATCAATTGAAATGGTTCAGAATAGCCTTGTAACAACTAAGCTTACATTTTTCACATTTTAATGCAATATTGAGAAAATCGAAACATAAATAAGCTCTTATCTTATTGACTATTATGATCCACTCCCGACAATTATTTCGCACGCCCAAACATAAAGATGAGACTATTGTTTGTTGTAAGAAAATAAATAATATTAAGGATGGCTGCCATCACCACCGAAGAGAACAAGACGATGAAATTTAGGTCCGACATCTCCTTTATCAATCACTTTGTATCCCTCATCGTCTGCATAGGCTTCACAATCTGAAGGATTGTAATCATATTCATAGTTTTCATTTACAGCTAACACTAGCCTTGCAAGCCCATCTTCGATTAGGTTTTCAACAGGAAACTGCCCAGACCCCATTTGAGGAGGCGTTACACCGTCTGGATCTGGATTGTAAACTTCTCCTCCCCATTCCGCGTAGTTAGCAAAATCTGCTAATTCGGTGAATATCTCTTTTGGCCAAAATCCCAAAATCCTAATGTAACGTCCAATCATGAGAAACCAGTCTCCAGTTGTGGGATGCTGCTTTCACAATGCAAATAACAATGGAACCTCCACAATTAGCTGGTTTATGGCATTTGTAGTTCAATAAGCAAATTAAAGAGTTATTAGTTAAGTACCTTGCGAATGAAGAAATTTTGTTCATACAGGGATTTGCCTCTTTCGGAAATGGGCGTCAAAGCAAGATCCAATGGTATATCATGATTTGTAATCACAAACCCGGGGCAAAAGGTATTGTAGCAATGTGAGTCCGTCGTCTATTCAGTTAAACATAAGTTTGATTACATTGTATTTTCTCCTTAAATAATTGAAGAAACCATAAATGCAATAAAAACATATTGAATTTTGTAATGAATAATTCACACACTAGAAAACAGATAAACTCACCTTAGTGTATATGAAAATTCGAGCTTGTTTGTCTTGATACAAGCTTGGATTAACCTTAGACACAAAGAATAAGAACAAATAAGATAGTTAAACAAATATCTCATTCTGTTATACGTAATTTTTTTCTTTTGGGAGGAAAGGTAACTATCTAAATAGGGTCAACGAATTACTTACCATCCATCCCACAGCAATACTATCGGGACCATTTTGAAGTTTCATACGGCTAGCACTGTATTGATTTTCGCGAACAATTGGATTATATACGGTAGTGTACATTCCACCTCCATAATACTTTTTTTCACCCGTAGACCTAAGTAGTGCAACCTATTAAACAAAAATATATGGTTATGTGAGCAATATGTGAATTCGATTGAAGTAATACAATAAAACAAATTAGGGACATATGATTAACTTTCAAATTAATAAACAAAAATTGTTTTAATAATACAACGACGAATAGTTAAATGAGTCACTTACATGAACACGTGGATTGAGATCGGGTGCAACACTAGCAGTCAGGTTTGCTTTTAGCAAATTGGTTTTTGAAATTTTTCTTATTGGCACTGTTCCAATTGGACATCCTTCATCATTCAACCATATGCCTGATAATTTACTTCTAAATGAACTTGAATCAGTTACCCTTCCTTCCAAATCTTCAAAAGCAAAGTTCATCTCCTATTGAAAACATAAAATAAAAAAAATAGAACTACTTAAGAATGTTTAAATTAAAATATCTATAAAAATAACGAGAAAAGCCCATAATTTGCAACTTATACCTTAAGGTCGAACTTACGATTATGTAACGAAGGATGATCAAATGCAGGTTGCTTGTAGAAATCTACACAATCATATGTATCTCCATGTCTTGTCTATTTGGAAAGGAGGTAAAGCAAGAACACCAGCCCAATGTTGTTAGTAATCTTTATATCATGAAAAATAAACTATATGAACTAACGATATATATTTATGATAAAATGATTTAACATCATAGAGTCATGCTTCTAACCTGAATAGTGACAACTACATATTTATTAAACTGCTCCAGTTGTCTTCCCAATTCGCTCGCCAACTTTTGGCTTGTAATAGCGTTCTGCTCTAACAACAAAGACCATAGCAACAAAAGTATGAAAACATAGTTCAAGGCAGTTTTCATCTTTTCTTGTAAATGAAAGTATATCCTACTTTGTGTCATGTAGCTCTATATAAGGGAGACAATGTCCAAACTCCAAACCATTTACCTTTTTGTATTTATAGTAATAATATCAACTCATTTTCATTTTTATTTTTTCATATATAGGAACAATATAAATTGCATCCTTATCCTATATTTTTTAAGAAATTAAGGATGTCACTCTCTATAACATTCAAATTGATATTAATTTTTTTGCTTATGTAATTGGATTGCGTTTTATTTTGTTGGTGGTTTCACCGTCCTTCGATTAGTGTATAACAAGTGTGCTTTGCTCTTTTTTATATGTTACTAAAAGTAAGGATGAAAGATGATTTTGTATTTAGGGCAACCATTTTGATACATTTTCTCTTCCTCTTAACTAGCATAGGGCCCAACCTATTGGCTGGTGGAATGTGGCCTTACCATTATCATTAATGATTAGGTGTAAATTAATGTGCTCTATTATGCATTTTTTGTCAAACACGTTCATTCTACTATTTTTTACATCAACATACCTATAATTTATAAAAATTATCAAACAAACACTATGTTAAATTTTCCATCGAAAAATCATTAGCCACAATTGAATCAAGGATCTGACGACTTGGCCTTGGCATATTGAAGAGAAAATGTCATTTTTGCCCCTCCATTTATTTCTTTGTCTCGTTAAGTGAAATTATTAGGGCTGTTATGCTATAAAACAAAAAAAATGTCAAAGTAAAATTAATAGGGGTATTTTAGACATTTAAGTTATCCAAACCACGGGTCAACCATGGTTGAAAAAATTTGGATAAACTTTTTAATATAAGGACTTATTTGATAATTATTTCAAAGTATATGGGTATGTTTGATGTAAAAAATAGTAGAATTGCATAAATATAATAGCAATGCATAGTAAAAGGACATATGATACCTATAATCCTATGGCTAATTATTATTTGTTTGATCCATTTAAAGTTCGTAGTATATCATAATAGTTGCTCTCTCATCATATAGTCTTATTGGTCTTGTGATACAATGATTGATTGAGACATATCGTAACATCCAAAACGATATTCATCAATGTATGAGTTTTGAATAAATCGACTACTCCTGTAACGATCTAATTCTTGAAGTTATAAATCTGACCATAATCTCTTATTCTCTTTATTTTACTAAGTCAATCTAATTTACTGAATTATATTAGACACATGAAGTATACCAAGGCAATTGACTAGGGTTCGCAAATTTACCCATACCCATGGGTATTTTGATGAGTTTGTATGAAATCCGAATAGATGAATATCGGTAGAGTTTGATTAGTTTGTACCGATACCCATATACTTGGGTTGGGTTTAGGGATGACAATGGGGTGGGTTTGCCTAAACCATCCCCATCCCCATTATCAAATAACCAAACCCATACCCGCCCCATACCCATGCGAAGGGAGGTTTTGCAAACTCATCCCCATACCTATGGGTTTCGGATACCCATGGGTAATACCCGCCCCGTATAAACAATATTATTATATCTAAAGTTCAACATGTATTTCTTCAATTATAACACAAAATATACATAATAAATAGCAGAAATCAACATTCTTATAGTATTTCTTAATAGGAAAAAGCATTCAATCCTAAAATATTGATTAATCAATAAAATAAAAATATAATAGCATATCAAATCATTCATCTTCGAATCTAACACATCTATATAATAAATAGCTAACATAATGCCCTGTTCACTTGCCATTTTGTTTTATAATTTTCGTTGCCACCACAAAAATTAAGGAACATAAATGGAAAAACGTGTTGACTTATCATTTCGTTTTTATTTGAGGAAATGGTTGTACAAAAGATTTGTAACTGGGAGAAAACGAAAAATACTTGTTTTATGAGAATGTTGACACGGTTTTCCCCTGTTTCCCAGCCGAAAACGAGCCCTTCCCTTTGGGAGTAGATCCGGTGAGTAACCTTGTGGTGAGTAACTGATAATCGGCTTTAACATATTGAATTCTTGGACTTTATGTGATTATCCTTGGTATGTTTTAGCCAATTGGTGCTATTTTAGGGCTCGCTAACCCGAGAATGGTTGAAAAACCATTACTGCCTAGTGCCATGAGTTTGATATGATACAGGTGGAGAAAGCACGAAAAAGGAGCGAGTTCACAAGCAATAAATCAGGCTCGAATTACTTGTGGACTACTCACTTGGGATCAAGGCCCAGAGCAACTGGACAAAGGCTGGGGACGGGAACCAAATTCTATTTTGGGCCTGGAAACTTAATTTTGGGCGGATCTAGGTTGGCAGAGAGAATGAATTTTGGGCGGCTGCAATTGGACATGCCATTATTTTGGAGTGGGGAATTGGAGAGAAGGAATTAAATTGAACGGATTCTCTTGTGGGAAGAAAAGCAGGAGGGCGAACAAAATAAGAAGGACCGAGAAGCAGAAGGCAATTAAAGGTCTCTGGTGGCGGAACTTTTAGGGGGAAGGGCGGAATTAATTTGGAAGAGAGGGAGGCAACTTTTGATTGGGTGGTTGGTGGAATTCTTTGGGCAGCCGAGCTCTTGGAAAAGCAGAGGTTGCAGCGCAGCAAACGTGAGCAAGGCCAATCGGCAATCGACTTCTTCCAAGGCGGTTTAAGCTGAGTTCAACGAGAGCGATTAGTTGGTTGGATTTTCTAAACCGAACTAGTGGTGTATTGTTGATTTAGAACATGATGAACAAAACCCTAATGATTTATCTCAATTTCATCATGAACTAAACCCTGATTTCTGGGGGAAACACCATAGGATGTAGCTATTTCTTGATTTGATGGATTGATTTATGATTCTTTTCTTCCAATCTCTATTGCATGAAATTTCTTAATGCTTTGTGTTGACTGGCCACCAATACAATGATTTGTAGTTAATTAGGTTATTAGCGACAGTGAAACCCTAATAACTGAACCTATTTCATGTGACATAGTAACTTATCGAAGCGACAGTGGATTAAATAAGGTGCTATGCGGTCTTAAATAGGATATCGGTCTTCAGACTAAATAATTAACTCATTGAGCTACGACAGTAGGATTTGAATTAATTGCTTAGTACATAGTAATTCCCGACAGGGATAGCTAGCACAGTAGTGATATCCTGGCTGTAGAGATATGGATTAAACTGATTGGAATATGTGAATTAATCTGGATAGGATAGGTAGTGAGTCCCGGTGTTTCTCCCAGAACTTTCTCCATTTAATTTCTCCCGACCATTTTACTTTGCTTAATTAGTTTATTTTGTTTTTAGATAATTAGTTTCATTAAACCATTGTCACCTATAGTTTGCTCTATAAAATTGATAGAACTTAAGGTTGTACCAGTCCCTGAGAGACGATACCCGGACTTTCCGGTTTACTACAAGATAGGATTAAGGCATACGCTTTTGACCTATCAAGTTTTTGGCGCCGTTGCCGGGGACTACCATATCTTATTTTTATTGATTTTTTTGAGTGAACTATTTTGATCCGGGTGTTAGTGTGCAGAAGAATTTTCAGGTTTATCTTCCTCGTGCATGCCAAGGAGGACGACTGATGACTCGATATTTGCACATGTTTTCCCCTTAGTTTCTTGATTGGTTAAGCTTGCATTATTGCTTCTTTGGCCTATTTTACGATAGGTTGTGTTCCTTTGTCACATTTCAGGTCATAGAACATAAAGTGAAGGGTAGGCGCAAGTTTCAATTCAATCGGAGATCAATTGGCGACTCGGGGGAAGAAACTCGGGTATGACTTGAAGAAGAAGGAATTTCTACCTCAATTTGTGACCATATAATCATGTAATCTTGTCATGAGATGAAAGAGGACGAGACTACGAGTGTCTGGGATCAAACGGCACCTGATTTGGAGTCCGAACGAGGGAGAAACGAAGAATCAAAGATAGGGGAAAATTGGTTTCGGGCTTCTCTGAGAAACAGAAGGTGGCCCTATCGCGAACGCAGGCTGTTAAAAGCCTGTTTTGTGCGTTTTTGCAAGGGGAGAGCTGGGTTTTGGATCCCAAACACCCTAGGGACGAACCAAAGAGAGAGAGGGCGATTTGAGGGCATTCTAAGAGGGGAATTGGAGGATTTCTTTGCCTTGGAAGCTCGAGGAATAAGCCCGGACTTGAAGACTGATCATCTGAAGATTCTTACTGCAGTCTCTCTCTTCTCTATGGAGTAACTTCCCTTCACTTAGGTTTTGAGGAACCCTAGCTATGTTTGTTTGATTGGATGATTGTATGAGTACTCTGAATTGATAACCTTGAGTTCATATTCAATCTATGCATGTTTTCATGATTCAATTATGCTTTAGTCGAGATTATTGATTGTGCTTTGATCCTATGAGAGCGAATACCTGATTAGGTCAATAGAGCACCATAGATTGATAGTATTGGATGGATTGCTTTAGTCGAGAGTTGATTCACTGCTTTGTATCGATTGAGAACCTCTTTCGATAGAGGGAGTCTAGTTCAGAATGCCTTGATCGGTTGTTCTAGAGAAGGATACGTCCCTCTAGGCAATTGACTCAAGAGGGCCTTGTTCCTTTAGTCGAGACTCAAGGTCTAGTCAAGGATTCTCCGCATTGTGAATGAAATTGAAACAAGTTAGAAATCATCAATCGTTAATCTGGCTAGTGGCTAGGGGGAATCATACCTAAGTGAGTTCCCAACCTGTAATTAGATTAACTTTAACTGTAGTTTGCTAGAGTAGTTTTAGTTCTTTCATCTTAATCTTGTTTGCTAAATAATAAACTGAAGCTGAGTAATAGTAACTCTAGAGACCCGTGGATCCAATATTTATCACTTGAGCCACTATACTGTAGTTCCTTTCATTGGTTACACTTGGCCTTTGTTAGGAGTTGTGTCATAGCGAGTCAACGACCGGCAATTTACTGCCACTTGATCCAGAGATAGAGAGGACCTGCCGACAGAACAGGAAGCAGGTCAAGTTAGGGAAGCAGCCAACCACAACTCCTAGGCCTTCCCTAACCAAGAAAGGGCAGGCTCCATCACCTGTCGTCCCTACACCACCGACACCACCACCACCACTTCGTGATATTGAGCCTGTCATCATGGCAGACGAGGATCGTTCGATCAGGGCTAGATTGAATCGACGGACTGGAGCCTGAGCTTCATGTGTTGTCATTCTGGCTGGGGATGCAACCATGGAGATTACCTCAGCATTTATCAACATGATCACCAATGGATATACTTTCTCTGGGGCTAGCAGCGAGGATCCTCACGAGCATCTTCGCCGGTTTGCGAGCATATGTGATACGATG